ACAGCCGCTTCCCTGCGACTATAAGACCCACGAACAAAGGTTCTTTAGAGCATTTCCAGAAAAGTAAATAAACAATCCACTGTACTTTGTTTACAAGTTTGAAGACATTTCGCTTGCCATCCAGCAAGTTTTTTCAATTCAAATGTCAGAAATAGCGTTGAGTTGCTTTAAACAGTAGCCCAAAAAACACTTGTTTTTGCTTAGACAATGTGCAAATTGAAACAAACGAACGGGTCCACCCCTTTACAGCAATTAAGCTAATCCCTTCCCACTATCATCCCAACCCCTTTACAGAGGAAAAGAAGACCCCGCCTATTCAGCCAGACCAACAATTCTCTTTAACGACCCCCCCTTCAGAGACATAGACAGGTATGGGGCATTGCAGGCTAACAAAGAAGCCAAATGACCCCCATTCCAAAGGGGGGGACCCGTTTGTCAGTTTTAATTTGCATGTTTTCTAAGCAAAAACAAGGCTTTGTTGGGCTACATAAAAAACTCAACACTATTTCTGACAATTTGAATTAAAAAAGCTTCCTGAATGGGAAGCGAAACGTCTTCACACTAGGGGAAAAAAAGTTGGAATGACTATGACCTGGATGACTGAGAATCTTCACTTACTTTAGATACTTTAGAAGATCACATCTTTACTTTTGTCAGTCATTTTTTTATTGAGACATGATATCGTCAAACAGTGTGACAATATCTGAAGTCCACAATTTCATAAAACTAAGACTTGAAGATAAATCTAGTGGTTCTATTCTGCTTTAGGGTTGGTTGCTTTTCTTTAAATTTCTACGCTGTAGCTTCAGTGTGGTTCAATTTGAAATCCTAGAATCTTTAAATGAAGGGATGTCTCAGAAGGAACGAAACAACTCAAACTGTAACTGATGAGGGAAGATCAGGACTAAAGTTGTCTGTTGTATAATCTGCTCCAGTCGCAGACGGAGGAGGGGATCAGGAAGGAGCTTCTGGCTCTTCAGGAGGACAAACACAACTATGAGACCACGGCAAAGGAGTCCCTGAGAAGAGTCCTCCAGGAGAAGATCGAGGTGGTCAGGAAGCTCTCAGAGGTGGAGGTGGGTACTCAAGAAGTAATCAGACATTAAAGCTCTCCACATCATAAGCCAATAGAACTCTAAAGACGGGCTTCACTTTGGAGCAACTGCAAAGTTGCTTTTGTGAAAACCAGT